TACAATATAAAATAAGCCGCCCTGGCCAGATAAAATCCAATAATATTAACAGTTAAAATGCTGCTTAAATAAAAAGGTCTTGGCCTGGCGCCGAAAAACAAATAACAACGGCGCCAGGCGGACCTCTCTGGGGAGCGCATTCCATAGATTGGGCACCACCGCAGAGAAAGCCCTCCTCCGAGTACCTACCCTCCTAATTTCCTTCACGGAGGGTTCCCGGAGAAGGGCCTCTCCCGCAGATCTCAAGGGGCGGCTGGGCATATATGGATGTAAGCTAATGTAATGTAAGTTATATGTAATGTAAGATATGTATTCTGTGTGCTGCCTATTTATAGCCTGGGAAGCTCTAGTTGGATAATTATTACTTCCCAGCATGTATTCATGGCATGCCAGTCTCTTTCCAAATAAGAAAATCAGAATAACGCCAACCCTAACCCTAGGCTGTGCGATCAAAATGAAGTGTGTTACTGCAGATCTTGAGGTGCATAATGAGTAGCGCCTGCTACCATTGCCACTTCATACCATATATTCTTCTTCTGCAGCACGTCCAAGGCCATAATGTCTGCTGCCGGGGTCCCTGTGGTAGAAGGCTACCATGGCGAAGACCAGTCTGACCGTTGCTTGGAAGAGCAGGCCAGAAAGATCGGGTACCCGGTCATGATCAAAGCAGTCCGTGGAGGCGGGGGAAAGGTAGGGGCAAAAAATGTATGCTTCCTATACAATTAGAACCATGCAGTATAATAATAAATATAATAAGGAAATATTTAGACTGAGATGGCGCAATTACTGCGCCAGTGCAATGTCTCAAATCATGATTGCATTGTAAAGTTAAGCTGTGTACTAATAGCAAATGCCCTCTCTGAGTGTGGATGGCCAGACAGCATCAGGCATGCATCAGAGAGAGTTATCGGGTAGTTTGGTGGCAGCCAAGGTTTACCTAACTACAAAAGATCAAGAAGAAGGATGAGAGAGAAACTTTCCAAAAACAACCCAGTGGGCATGGAATTATTATTTGGGAAGGTGGGGGAATATAAACCCAGGGAGAAGGGGAAGTGGAATGGAGTTTCTTGGAAGAGGATGTGACTGGCTGGCAACTGGAACAAGGAGCACACCATACTTTGAGACTCATTGCAGGATCCCTCTTGTCTTTTATTATTATTTAAGATGCCAGTTGAGGTCCATTAGCATCAGGCTGCCAAGGATGAATTATTTAACTACATGTAACTTTGACCTGGTACATTTCCTGAGCATGGTGCTAATTGTCATGAAGGATGTAATGAAGACAGCACTTTCCAGTTTGGTCTCTCTGCATAGCCATCACATATGTATCCATGTTACGCACTCAGAGACAGCTGAACAGATTCACTGAATTGAACTTAATAATTGTGTGAATGACTCATCCATATTATAAACCATGCTGCTTTTTAAAATAACTTGCTATTGTCTGTATTCATTTTCTTATTTTGCTGACATTTTTGTCACACTTTCCAGGGCATGAGAATTGCTTTCTCAGACAAAGAATTTCAGGAACAATTAGAATCAGCCAGGAGAGAAGCTAAGAAGTCTTTCAATGATGATGCCATGTTGATAGAGAAGTTTGTAGATAATCCAAGGTAACACATCATCCTTCAACTCTGAACTGTTTTGGAGAGTGTGCAGACACCAAAGACAGAAAATGGAAGAGGAGTTTGAGTCCTTGGATAGAAGTACTAGTAGAAACTGTTATTTGGGGTCTGTTTGGAGCCCTGGGAGCAAAACCCACAGAGCTGTGGGATGAAATAAATCTTTGACTCCTAAACAGCAAGACTGTATGTTTCCTGTTGGAAATGAAGACAAAGGTACAGTTGGCTGCTGAAATGAGAGAAAAGATAGTCAAATGGTTTCTGTGGGTGGTCACTAGGCCTTGACTAAGCTATGACAAAATCTGCCTTCTCCCTACTCTGCTGTGGTAATACTGGTCTAAAGCTGCATATTTCCAATGGCTGAGAGCCCAGAAGGTACGGGCCTCAGGTCACATCACTGGATTAGGTTTTTCTGGTTGTGTTTTCCACTGACACTTTGTACAGCTGTGATTAAACACTGTTACTTCTTTGAGGAGATTATCTTTCTCCCTAATCAGAATTCTTCCTTGTGGTTTTTTTTTTTTACACAGGGCTAACATTTTCCTGGCTTGTGGACTGCTTTGAATAAAACAAGATGTCCTAAGTTTCTCTTCTTTCACCTTTGTTAAGAAAATTCCTATCCTTTTATTTCTTTCCTGGTGAGGCTCAGACTTCACTACTTTTATTTTTAAACATTTATTCAGTTCCTTCATGGACTGACTTTATATTTGGATTCTACTGAGTTTTATGCACTGGCTCCTGGAACTTCTATTTAAGACTATGGGGATCTGTGTCCTCTGCTTGGGATAGGTTTCTGTAAATCTTTCTTTCTCAGTATTTAGGCCAAAGTGCTATCTAGCAGAGAGTGCAATAAACTTTAACAAGAAGCTGGGAGAAGATCGTGCATTTATATAGTAGTTAATATAGATAATTTTACAGCTACTATTGTAAGTCTGGTATGTAAGACTTCATTCTATGCTTTAATCCAAGTTGCTCCACATTGAACACTTATTTAATCTTTGTATTTAGCATTCTCTGAAGTTCATTTTTCCATGGAGTTTTTTTGTGTACTGTTCCATTGCCTTATAAGTCAGGTTCTCTGATTACTTGTTGTGATTTAAATAAACTTCTAATATATTACACTAGTGAATAGGCCCAGATAGCCCCTTGCCCACTGGGACAAGGAAAAACTTCCTTTTCAGAGACCCTGGCATTTGCTCAAACTCTGATCAGAATGCCTGGGATATTGTAGTCATGCTCCCCTGGAAAATCCACCCCAGCTGAAAAGGAGTCAGTGAATGGGTAGCTGAAGGGTACCTACTGAAAGCTCCTATTATGGATTTGGGGCTGAGGTATGGGGACTGCTCACCTGTTGTGAGGCTGGGTAAGGAGAAGGGGCTGAAGAGACCTGACTTCACATGATTCTGTCCTTCCCAATCTGATAAACCCTCGCCTGCTGGCTTACAGTAAGAAATGCACCCCCATAAAGGGAAAAACCAAACCAAGCCCCCTCCCCCTTATCTGCTCATCATGTCCTATCCCAAGTTCTTGGCAGGCACCAGCTTATAATCCTAAGGCTGAAAATATTTAACAATTGTACGCTTATTTCGAAGGCGCATGCTGCATTTTAAGGTGCACGCCTCTCTCACAGGTCCTGCTTTTCAAAAATAATATAAGTTGGTGTGCAGTTCTTTCTGTCTTCTGGGACATAGATCTGATATTGTAAATGTCAGACCCATGGATCTCTTTCTGAGTTACGTTGGAATGCTGGAGCTCTTTGATAAATTGCTATGTTAAAAGAGCTTCCGTGTGTTTACGCAAATGGATTTTTTTTGTCCTTGAATGGATTATTGTAGACTAACGTGTCTAACAGTGGATTAACTACAACAAAGAGTCAAACAAACACTGATCCTCCTGACGTATACATCATTTCCAGATCTGAAAAGTAATATTACAGTACATAGTTTACAATGGTCTGTGCAGGTTATCTTGGAGTTTAACAGGGGGCAAAGCTGCATTAATATCTTTTTCTCTAAAGACTGGCATTGTGATCTTCAAGAACTTTGATCTATTCATTTTTAAAACTGAAACAGGCATGTTGAAGTTCAAGTGTTTGGAGACCAACATGGCAATGTGGTCTATCTGTTTGAAAGAGACTGCAGCGTACAGAGAAGGCATCAGAAAATTATTGAAGAAGCTCCAGGGGTACGTGGCGGTTCTGCAAACATCAAGACGGTTGTGCACATTTGTTTCCTATAATAGCATAATTCTTGTAGTTTTACATGTGTGATGTTAATTACACTTTGGCATTTTTATGGAAAATAATACTAGCTGCAGAGAACCCCAAATCATACAAACAGCATCTTTTTAATATGGAAATTACACCAGGTAGCACAATACTCTACTTCCAAAGGCACAAAGTACTTTCTCTGTTCTTCTGAAGCATGAAGGGAAGACATTTCTAGTAGGTTTTGCTAGTTTATGCATAACATTTCTCTTTAACTTGCTCATGTCTATAATTTGTGGTCCTACTTGAAGTTGAAATGTTTTACATGTTTCCTGTTGTCCATATACTTATACTAAAGGAATTGAATAGTTTTCTATGTAGAGTTTTGGGACCATGGCGGTTGTTAAGTGAGTTGCTTTCTATGAGGCTCATTTTATGCAGATTATTGTAAATGGAGGTGTAACCTTAGAAACTGCATTAAAAAAGAAAGCATTTTTACATCAGTTTTCCCAAAGTAGATAATACCTGCCACAGTAAGCATGCACGCAAATAACACTGCACTGTGCAAATGTAGCTTTGTTTTTATGATTCTTAGCCAGGAATTCAGCCTGAAGTGAGAAGAAAACTTGGAGAGGCAGCTGTTAAGGCAGCTAAAGCTGTGAACTACGTTGGAGCAGGTATTGCAAATTTCCTTTTAGCTCTGTATTCAGTTTCATGCAGAAAGATATTTGTTTATAGGAGGGATGTTTTAAGTTGCACTCTAGAATTCACTAGGCAGCGAATCTCCCAAATATGCAGCTGGCAAAATAATTTTTCATAGAAAGTTATGCCACTAAAAACCAAAGTTAAGGAGAAAATACACAGAGACACGAACACTGCAGGATTCTCTGATGTAACACCAGCACATATAATATTACAAATAAAGAAAGACAATAACCAAAAATATCTAAACTGTATAATAAATTTGGTCAAATGTATCTTGGCATGTTGTCTTAATTAGTGGTCTAAAAAATCTAAAGAAAGAGCATTCTAGAGTAACTAGAGAATTGTGTGTGTGTGAGAGAGAGATTTTAAAATGCCATTGAGACCCCCCGTTGACTCTTGTACATAAACCTTATAGATAGCTCTTGTATATAAGACAAGCTTTTGTGTAGTTATATTTGTGGTAAATTCTGCATTCAGCACTCCTGTAGAGAAAGAAAGCTAAAGCCAACATGCCTCATGGAACGGTTGTTACGACACTCTCCCGCGAGGCACAGTAAGCAACTGGACAGGGGCAGCTGGGGCAGGGTGAGCTCCCCGCTGCCGCACGGCTCCTGTTCTGCCCACCCCTGCCTGCTGCTGATGGTCATGAGTCCTCTGGCCCACCCTCTGGATTTCTCCAAGAGGCGCCCAGCTGCCTCCAGGTGAGCCTGCTGGACCTGGTTGTGGCTTTTATCCTGGCTTGAAGTGTGCAGTTGTGGTGCACAGAGCCCAGGTCTACGGGGGACCCAGAATGTTTAACTGAGCCCCAGATCTCAGCCACTCTCTACTGTCTCAGATCCAGAGGCTGCTGCCGGCTGCTGTTTTCTTCTCCAGGCAGGCCTTCCATCATTTGTCAGGGTAGCGCAATATTTAGAGGCAGATTTGCCTGTTCCTGTTTCCTCACAACTGCACTTTTCCTCATTGCCCCCTCTTGCTTAGAAAGTGAGCCCGCTATGGGAGGGAGGGCAAACAGAGACTGAGAGGAGTACCCAAAAAGGCAGGCACAAGCTGCTGCTGCTGCTTCTCTCATCGCCTTCTTGTGCAGAGCTGTAGCTCAGCTGTAGAGCACAGACTTTGCACGCAGCAGGTCCAGGTTTAATTCATGGGCATTTCCAGCTTTGGCTGGGGAAGTTGCCTGCCCAGCTTTGAGAAGACGTCAGAGTGACTGCTGTTAGTGCATAGACAGTACCAAGGCACATGGACCAGAGGACTGGCTGGTATAAGGCCATGTCCTGTAGGTGTGCGCCCATTATGTGCACACTCGCATGACTCCTTGCTTCTTGTGCTCTTCCTGGGAATGCTTTGCCCATCCGCTTTTGTCTAGAATCAGAGCAGCTCAGCCAGTGACCTGCAGACGCTTTCTGGCTTACTCTGATAGGACAGCCGCTGAGCCAGTCCTTTATCAACACCATGAACACGACCAGAACAAAATTTTCTGGTGCACAACAACAATTATAAAACTTTAACATATCTGAATAGTGTTAAGGCTCCTCTGGAAAGAGACTTATTTCAGCTACTTGTGAGGTTATACTTCCCATTCAAGTTCTTTGATGTATCTTTTGGGTGAGCTTTTAGAATATTTCTATTTAAGATGCTTACAAAGGGCCATGAAATCTTTGGACAATGAAGGTACAAGGAAGGAAAGTATGCACACTTCTGTGAAATACATTTTGCTTAAATATTTCAGGAACGGTGGAATTTATAATGGATAGTGAACATAATTTCTATTTCATGGAGATGAACACCAGGCTCCAGGTGGAGCACCCAGTCACTGAGATGATAACAGGGACTGACTTGGTGGAGTGGCAACTTAAGGTAAGGACTCTTGCAAACCACCCAGAGAGTTTAACTGCAGGGCAGTATAGAAAAGAAAACAATGGCAATGACCGGATGTGGGCCGACCACTGGAGTAGCACCCTTTACTGTTTATATGGTGGGGTTTGCATTGGGGGCGGTGAATTCTCACTATTTCTGTTTGGATTGACTATGAATTGGGTAGTGAATGAACAGGTCGAACAGGTTTGTTCCAAGTTGTACCTGTGCGGAAAAACATGTCTAAATGCAGGAGCACACCTCCTGTTTGTACAGCCTGACATCAGGATCCAGGATGGCAGGTGTAGCCCATTGTAGACTGTACAGAATTCCATCCACAGCTCTGGGGAGATACTGCGTACAGTTGGAGGGGAAAAAGTTGAGATGGAGAAGTTGGGAGTCTGTTAATATGGAGAAATTAGCAGTTAGAATCCATATGGGAGTTGAAATCCGATAATGTAACATAGGGGGATGCAGGTGGCGCAGTGGTTTAAACCGCTGTGCTGCTGGGCTGGTAGATCAAAAGGTCGTCGGTTCGATTCTGCACAATGGGATGAGTTCCTGTTGCTCCGTCCCAGCTCCTGCCAACCTTGCAGTTCGAAAGCATGCAAATGCAGGTAGATAAAAAGGTACCACTTTGGTGGGAAGGTAAACAGCGTTCCGTGCACTTCGGCGTTTAGTCATGCCGGCCACATGACCACGGAGACGGTCTGCGGACAAACGCTGGCTCCCTCGGCTAGGAAACGGAGATGAGCACCGCCCCCAAGAGTCAGGCATGACTCCTTTACCTTTACCTTTAACATATTTGGTGAGTGCAGATGCAGCTCTTCTAAAAAAGGAAAACTTGTGTAGCTAAAATGTACATAATGCCGGAGACTATTATGTAAATCAGTATATGTTTCCTTACATAAGTTTTTATTATATTAATCTGTGAGTCCTTGATACAATTGGAGTCTGCAGATTCTCCTCTTAATTTCAGAAGAAAGCAAAATTGCTGTTCTTGACAGGTTGCTGCAGGAGAGAAGATCCCTTTGACTCAGGAACAGATCTTGCTCAAGGGACATGCATTTGAAGCAAGAATCTATGCAGAAGATCCAAACAATAATTTCATGCCAGGGGCTGGACCCTTGTTGCATTTGTCCACACCACTCCCTGATGACTCTATCAGGATAGAAACTGGGGTAAGACAAGGTAAAACTGACATCCCTCCATGGGAACTGGTATCAGAGACATTCTTTTAGTTTTAAATGTGCCGTTAATTTTTTTTATGGATAGGATTTCAAGCATTCAGCTCTGAAAAGCACAAAGCCAGTTATGCAAACTTATGAAACCATTATTTGCAGTTGTTTCTTTTGGGAATTTTACTGTATCTCCTTTGGATCCCTTGCATCTTCTCTGTTGTGTTTAGAGTTTGGAAGAAAAGGCATAGAATTACAAGCCTGGAAAATCTGAATAACAGCCATATCCAAACCTCCTACAGAATTCATCGTACATTTATTTGTATTTAATATTTTTATTAATTATATGTTACCTTTCGTCCACTGAAATAAGTTCCAAAATGGTGAACCAAGTAAAATAGCGTATCGGTAGCTGATCAGGCTGTTGACAGACAGGAAACGACAATGTTTGTCATGCCCTGCCTGTCAGCCTTGCAGGAGTATCCGGTTAACCATGGCTGGAATCAAGTCTAAGAAGGATCCTTGTCTTCTCTAGCAGGGCAGTTCCTGGCTTCACCTACAGATTAATCTGTGTTACCTGTAAAGAGTGTCACATCATGAGAGCCTTATCACAGCAGAAATCATTTTGGTAGAATGGGCTGGGAAAATGTTGGCACCCTTAGGATCAGAGGAAAAGATGTGGCCGGATCTAGGCATGCCTTAAAGATGCTTTTACCATCTTTGTAAGGCCCCCTTTTTTTAGTCTGTAAGTATCTTGAGGAGAGGACGGTCTTGGCACCAACTGTTCTTCAATCATGTCCAGATTAGACTGTCATAAAGCTGCCTTTAAAAATGGTCCAGAAACCGTACTGGGTCCAAAATCTGACAGTCAGACTTCACTGATGCCCAGCATTCAGAACTTTGGTGTACCTTTAACTTTGTACAGTGCTTTGAATCATGATTCACAGAAGCAGTGTACAAATAACAGTAAATAAGGAAAGTGCTTAGTGTGGCCCAGTGTGGTTTATTGTATGGAACACAGTGATGCGGTTTATATTATTTTTCCCATTTTCAGTTTTGCTTTCTGAACCGCAAGTTCTGATAATGAGCATGTGGGAGAGCTTGCAGGCAGCAAGTCTGCATAGCAGACAAACCTGGTCATCTGTAACCAAAGCAAACAACAGGTTACGGCTATAAACTGGATAATTTTTCAGCTACTCTTTCTGGCAAATCACTCTTCCATTTATTTCTATTTCAGGGGATGAGGTTTCTATACATTATGACCCCATGATTGCTAAGCTGGTTGTTTGGGCAGAAGACCGTCAAGCAGCATTAAGAAAATTAAGATACTGCCTACAGCAATATAATGTAAGTATAAGGACTCCAGAGTAGTTTAAAAGCTTGTGTCGATCTGATAGCATGACCCAGAATTTCAATAATGAACCTTGCACCCTCTCTCCTTGTGTCCCAGAGGGCACCTGAGGTTTGCTTCGCTTCATTACCTTGATGTCACTTCAGTGCTGAGTGCTTTGGAATACCTACTCTTGTTGAGATATACAAGAGTACCTACTCTTGTTTGATTTCTCCAGCACAATACTTTTAGAACTACTGCACATCTCTTGGAACATTCAGCTGAAGCTCTGCGGCCAGTTATTTGTCTTCACCTAGTAATTTCATTCCCATCTCTCAACAGATTGTAGGGTTAAGCACCAATGTTGATTTCTTGCTGAATCTCTCGGGCCACCCGGAGTTCGAGGCTGGAAATGTTCACACCAATTTTATCCCTCAACACTATGATAAGCTCTTCCCTTCCAAAAAGGCGATATCAAAAGTGTTTTTGTGCCAGGCAGCCCTAGGACTGCTACTGAAAGAGAAAACAATCACGGACTCTTTTAGACTTCAGTCAGAAGGTAAGGTTATCTTTCTACTTTTAGACGATCATTCCAAAAGTGAAGAAGATGCCTGATAACATGCATGTTCTCTCCCTTGTACATATATATTGTGGTTCACATTCATAAGCAAAACTTTCCTGACCCAATATTACATGCGGGCACCTGGTTTCCGGTGCTGCAGAATTATTTGTCTGAATGGATTTCCTTATTCATTCTAACAGAAAGTCCTGGTCTGATCATGCACTCAGGATATGCCTGTGACTTTAGAAGGCTCCATGCATTTGTCCGGGTGCAGACTTCTGGTTGAGTTTTATGTGCTTTGGATTAATGTTGCTAGAAATAGTGCAAATAGCACATTCAGTGCATCTCCCTTTTTGTTTTAGATAAGTATTCTCCATTTGCATCCAGCAGCGGCAGAAGGATCAATATGCGCTTCATTAGGAACTTGACTCTTCTTGATGGTGAAAATAGTAAGTGCGAATAATACGCATTTGAGCGACTGTTCATCTTTCGCTCTGTGTAGAGCTGAAAATGATCGGAGACCTACAATGGTGCAATGGCTCCCAATGGGGTTGAATTGGGTCCCGACATGTGTATGTGTGCCGGAAGTGGAGGTGCTCCACCGAGGGCCAGCAGTCCCTGCTCGGGGGGGGGGGGGGCTGCAGTATGGTCAGCTGAGGGGCTTGGTAGAGATCCCAGGAGCATTTCTGTGAGCAGAAGCTCAGCTTGTGGAAAGGGCCCCTGCCTGATTTGAGGGGGAGGGTCCTCTCCCCCCCTGGCCCTCCACACCCCCATGCTGAGAACGTCTCCTGGCCAACCATGGCATTTTCAGGTGGCTGCGCAAGCTGGCCTGGAGAGGAGAGGATGGGGCAGTCTGCTTCTGCCACCCCGTTACACACATGTAACTTTGCATCTCACCCATTGTCACTGGGACAATGCGTAAAGATGACTTGGAGCAGAGCTTAATTGCAAGCACCACTCTTTCAGAAACGTGACTCCAAGCTGCCTCCTCTTTCCTGGTTGCTTGTTCTTGAGGGCTTCCTTTGTACATGCAGCACTGTATAGATACAGGCTTTGCTACCCCTACATGGGTCTGTATGGTTAACTGTGCCCTGCATGTTGAATTGAGGGTTAAGGTGGACAGGGCAGGGGAGAGACAGAGAAATCGAGGATTGACTGAGATGGAAGAGGTCGAGAGTGTGATGGGCAAATAAGGTGAGATGGTTCAGGAAAGGTTTTGTTCAGCAGATGCTTATATGCAAGAGACACTTAAGTTTGGGTGGATCATAATGATGATAGTAAATGTGGCTTGAAAGAGGGAGTACTGCTCCCAGTGTGCATGTTCCTTCCTCTCTTATCTTTGATCATTACATGTGCTTGCATCTGAAAACCTGTTTCACCAGGGGCAGCAGAGGCAGCCTGGAAGTGTGTGCGCATCAGCGATGCTGAGCCGCTTTTCACGCGAGAACTGAATGTGATGTTGGAGAAGCACTGGGGGCGGAGCTATTTCAGGGTGGGCGGGGCCAAAGGCAAAATGGGGGGGGGTCCAAAATACCAGCCTCTGAATACTGGCAGCAACTAAGCCTTAGAAGAGGCATTTCCACCTTAGACAATAGAGGAAGAAATCACACCAAAGCCAGGAAGCCACCAAATGATTGGTGGGCAGGAGAAAGAGGGTGAGTCCAGAGAAAGTGGGAACGGCCCTGTTGGGAGTCACAGAGAGGATTTGTCCCCCTGTCAGGTTCTGCACCTCAGGTATTCCATAGACAGCAGTGCTGCTCTCAGACTATATTCAGGGCTTTTAAAGTCTAAGCTTCTCTCCAGACTTTGTGTGGTGTAGCAGGAGCAAATAGAGGAGATAAATAGCAGGAGATAAACAGAGAAGAGAAGACTGTTCTCAGCTGAAGTAGGAGTAGCAAGAAAAAAGGTGCAGAGATTAACTATGGGAGAAGATGACTTAGAGGGATTAAGCACCCATGTTGCACAGAACAGAGATAACAGCAAGGGGAAGACCAGGGAGGTGATAGAGCTGAGGGGAATGCTTTGAAGGAAGCACTTTTCTACCCCATATGTGTTGTCCTTACCTATCACATAGCTATATGCTTTTTTTAAGCTCTTAACTGTTTTCTCCCCATGTGAAGCAATTTAAATCTTTATTTTTTTAACAGATGTGAATATGACTATAACCTACAGTCATGATGGTTCATATGACATGCAGGTAAACTCATCATAATAGGGTTTCAGTTACAAAGAGGGTTAGCAGTGTCAGGCTCTTTCTGTGTGGCTCCTTATAAATCCCGGGCACCCTGGAAAGGCCATGCTGGTGGCAACAGCAGCTGCAGAAGCATTGGGATGGGTTCTGTTTTGGGTTGGAATCTTCTCGGACTGCATTAGCAACTGCAAAATGGATTTATTTTATTATTGAACAACGCCTGTTTTGATTTTTAAATAATGTGCAGGAGTTGGGAGCAAAGGAGAGAAAGCTATACATCATTTTTGTGGTGCTTTATTAATACAGAGTATTCCAGTTTTCTTCTGCACTTTTATTTTTGGCTCTGCCTTTCTAATGCCCTTTTTAGTTCTCTGGCCTATCTGTCACTTTTGAGAAATAAGCCCAGGGCAGGGCACAGCATTCAGTATTCAGATGGTAGATGTAGAGGAAAAAGCACTTTCACATTGAGTGGCAAAGCTCATTCCCTGAAGTCATGTATGTTCACTCAGAGTTTATCTTGTACAAAGATTTCGGATACCCTTTCTGATTAATTGGGAGGATTTGTCCAGTGGTACTACTGAGCAGGTGGACAGTTTTGTATATGTGTGTAAGATTCTTGTGGGGGTGGGGGTGTCCAGTAGCATAAAAAATATTATTTTGAGCAAGATTCTTTCAAGCTATGCAATACACTGTTTTTGAAATACCTCTGAATTTTGAAAAATGGTTTGCTGAGGGCAGGCAGGGGTGGAAAGCTACAGATGGAGAAATACAAGTACTAGTTGTCTAGCTCTTTGGATCTTGGTCAGTGTGCACGTGTTGTATAGTTTCTTGTATGTGTGCATTGAGAGTGTATTACTCTCTGTATTGGATTTGGGTATGTTTTTCCTCTGTTTCTACTCTTGGAATGCAATATGTATTTCTACCTTTCCAATCTTATTTCCTCAGAAACGGTACATGGCCCAGTGACTTTAAAACCCTGTATATGTATTTCAGATACAAGACCAATCTTTCCATGTTTCTGGTTGTCTTTCAAATGATGGTGATTCCGATTACCTAAGATGTTCAGTGAATGGAATTGTTCATAAATCCAAGCTGGTAATTTTGGACAACACCATTTACCTCTTCTCACTGGTAATATTTTCTTCTTCTTCATCTAGGAGTTTTATCTATCGTCTTTATCCAGGCAGGGAAACTAGTGAAAGGAAGAAACAAGTAGTGATGAATTTGGATATATGTCTTTACATTTGGAGAGTATGGATTGAGTATGAGCCATGATTTCATTTTGTAATTAACCCATAAGCTTACTGTGATTCTTGAAACTTTATTGCTTTGATTAGTAGAGACTGGATAGTCAAGACTGAACTATTAATGAATGATTCATTGATAAATTTCTCCTCCTCCCACACACACACATGCAAGCACATACACGTACATACAAACACACACACACTGTAAATTCTATGGAAGCAACATCATCAGCTTTTCTGGAACAGGGCTGCAGTATTTGGAATGTATTCATTAAAATGGTTGACTTCTAATCCATCTATTCCTTTACATGCTTTCCATCATTTTCAAACTATGTGTTGGCTTAAACCTGCCTTCCCTGCTCTGTGTTCTCCATGCTTTTTGGAATTCAACTCTCAGCCCTGCCAACATGGCTGAGGATCAAGAATGTTGGGAGTGCTGGTGCGAAACAGCTGGAGGGCACCAGGTTTGGAAGTGCTTGTTTCGATGGCCATATGGTAGATCTTCTTACTGCAACAGCATGGAGACAAGTAAATTGAAGCAGAGACGGGAAATAAATTCCCAAAGTAAAGTAACACACATTTGATGCATTTTTAACACTACATTAACAGCCTTTTTTAATGAAAAGGAATATTCGGGCAATTTTGTTCCAAGATCAGTTGTTGTTGTTTTTCCAGTAATAATGATTAACGGGAATTAAAATGGGAATTTAATTAAGGTCATGTAAAAGCCGTATCACTAGATCAAGTATTAATATCCATCCAAGTGTCATCTGTCATTTACAGCATCGAGACTTGTCCCCATTGCATGAATATCATAGTGTCCCTATGCTCCTGGTTCATATTTTTCCTCTAGGAAGGCAGTGAGCAGATTGCTCTTCCATTGCCAAAATATTTATCTGGAGTGAGTTTGACTGGAGATCAAGGTGGAGCTGTGGCACCCATGACAGGAACAATAGAAAAGGTAATTCTGGGAACCATGCTGTGAGAGTGTCAAAAGCATCATCTACGTTACAAGAAAAATCCTCTAGCCATGCTCAGAATACTCATTTCTTTGTCCTGTCTACAGAAGAACTTCAACACATCGCAGCAGACGCTAGGGTAGTGTCAGAACACGTACTGCTGTATTCCACAACACAGCACTGTCGAGATGTGCTGGACTGCAGCTTCCATTATCCTCAGCCAGCATGGGTGGCAGCTGTGCTGGCTGGGAGTAATGGGACTTGTAAGAGCCCATTTGGAGAAAGCTGATGTGCACAGTTCATGCTGAGCACCAGCTGGACCTCAGTCCTCTCGGCGTGAAGAGATAGCATGGCCAGCAGCGTGACCAAATTTCTTTCAAGGAATCTTGTCCATGCTTATGGATTTTCTCCCTGAGGAACCTACGTCATTTCAAAGGTCACCCCAGAGCTCCATTTGGAAATGACTTCTGGCCTGACCTGCTCTTGTTTCCTTCTCTGTTCTCACAACTAGTTTGTCCCTCCCAAACCTCTGCTCTAATCCTGCACCCCAAGCCTCGTGCTTAGACACACGTACAGAAAAGAGAAAACGCCTGCAAAGTTAGGATCCTCATTCTCTGTGTGATGAACGGTGTCCCTCCCCACAGCATGAGATGTTATTCCATTCCCCAGCAACCTGAACTGGCGCAGTCCAGAAACGCTGCACCATTTGATCGTGCTGGTGGTGCAGAGTGTCTGAGGGCACAATCCTATGCGTGTTCAGACATTTACGAAGTCCTGCAACCGCTAGCCATCCCCAGGCAGCCATGCTACATTTTCCAGCATTCCCCAACAACAGGGCCCATGCTGGGGGTTGTGGGACCCTCTTTTGCTCAAGCATGGGTAGGATTGCACCCAAAGCCTTGTGTTAAACATTAACACACTGGTGGTGCTTAAGAAATACCAAGTATTAGCACAGAGAGATAAACAAAACAGGTAACTTTTCATATAGCAAATAACAGGTAGTGCATTAATGTCTGTGCAGCTTCTTAGGGCCCCTTTGCATATGACATGGCTGAAAATGAGTGTTTTTAGTAGCATGTGCTTGTAGCAATGAGCTTAGGCCATTCCATACACATATGTAACACAGTGATCATTTACATGTGCAGATTATATTTTTAGGTATACATTTTTATAGGCACACCCTAAAAATGTTATCCTTCTGGAGAAATTAGCGCTAAATGTAAACTCAGCAAATGTTTCAATTCTTCATCATACAAGGAATCATTTGTCCCTCATTTTGCTATCTGTTTGCTCGTAGAAAACCCTAGGCAGGTGATGTTTGCATAGTAGCAATATATCGCTGGGCTTCAAGTTCTCACTTGTGCTTCAATCTGTTAGGTGTTTGTGAAAGCTGGGGATAAAGTCCAGGTCGGGGATCCACTCATGGTCATGATAGCCATGAAAATGGAGGTAAGGGACTTCATAATGTTTTGACTGTAGGAAAGAAAAAAGCACACTGTTCCCAGTGTAATTTTGATTATTAGCATATTGTGTAAAGGGCGTATTAAATGTTGCAGAAATAATGTTAACTGAAGGGATGCTGCAGATTAAGCTGCTTTTATTGGCCTAAATAATTTCTAACATTTCACAGAGCCAATATGCCACTGCATTTGCATGCAGGATGATCCTTTATAATCTACACCAATGTCTCCCAACTTGCTGCCCTTCAGATATTTCGGATGTTATTTCTCCCAGTCAGCATAGCTGGTGGTCAGAAATTCAGGATGCTGTAGTCTGAAACATCCAGGGGGCACCTGGTTGGGGAAGGCTGGTCTAGAGCAACTACTTATCTGCTCTCTACCATTTAAATATTTCTCTGAGGGTTGGGCTGTGAATTCTAAGAAGTAATGAGTGTTTTCTCTAAAAATCGTTGTTTAATTATCCAGTTATTGTTAATTCACATAAACCCTTGCAAAGTATTATATCTGTGTATAGACCTTGTCCAGCTCTTTAGCAATAACCTTAGCTAGACCAGCATAGTTTGGCCTAGCAGTGCTGAGTTGCATCTTGCACGTTTAACTGTTGTTAGGCAGTGAGTAAATGAAGCAGCACTGTAGTACTGTAGTATTCTAATCTTTTTCTTCCAGAGAATAATACACGGTGCAAGCTTTTGGTCCATCTGCTCAATATATTATGATTTTATAAGTGTGACCCAGTGAGAGTTTATAAGCCAGCATTCAGCAGTATGATGGCACTGCTCTGTTGCAGAGGAAAGACAAGTTCCAGGCACGGCTTCCTCTCTAGCAAATGATGGCGGATGAGGGAGAAGGCCCCAGGGTACCCAGCATAATAGAGCGGCAGCCTTCTTCCAGGAAGTTTTCCTTCCCACTCTGCCCACTCTGCCTCCTTGCAGGCAATTGTTGCCTGGAGGCAGAGCCATCTCTTCTCATGAGATGGAAGAGAGAAAATCTGCAGAGAGTTTGGCCATGACTTCTCCACCCATAGGATATGAAACGACATCCTGAAATGCAACCTATCTGCTGGTAACTTCATTAGTAGTTTCCCCAGCCACACTCCATGCGTTGTTGGGAAAAGACATTTTTATTTAAAACCACTGTTCAGTAAAACTTCATGTGCTCCTTTGAGTCCGCAGCCACTGTTTTAGGATGTGGTCCCCCTCCTATTGTGTCCATACAGGGAGTCTGACACTGTACTTAAAGCAGTTATCCTGTTACAAAGATGTGTAAACCAATTGCATGAGGCTGAAGCCATGCTAATAGAGAAACTGTAATTAGTTTATTGTATATGCTTCTTTCTGTGCAGCATACCATACGGGCTCCAAAGGCAGGAATAATAAAAAGGGTTCTATACCAAGAAGGATCCCAGGCCAACAGACACGCCCCACTAGTCGAGTTAGTGGAGGAAGAATCTGAAACAAAATAATCCCCGGGGAGTGGAGGTGATGCATTTTGATCTTTGCTTCATTCTTTTCTATTTTTCAAGAAGGCATCCTTGTATTTGTGCACTGAAGCAATTACTAATAAAATGCTTTTATTTCCTCTGTGTTCTTTGGATATGTTTCCATTACAGCTTCAAGCAACTGTCCCCAAATTCTGGGGTTTGCCACTCTGCAATGAAAGATAGGAACTCCAAGGGCTTGCACATGTATGGACATAAGTGTTCTCTCATCATCACTTGATTTCTCTGCAGTTGATGACTTTCACTTGAAATCAAATACTTTCTATCTGAAAATAATCTAAAGAATATCAAATGGTTTGCCAGAAGAATTAGACCTGGAAGGACTGTGGCCATTCTTCCACTTGGCCATGAACTGAATTTGGTGTGCCTGGACAATTTGAGCTCCTAATATCTTGTTGGCAAAATATGCATCATTACAGCTTATCATGTAAAATGGTCATTGAGAATGAGGAGAGGTCAGTAAAATATTTGTATGGTGGAGACAGGAAGGTACCAAAGCAGTCACAGGTCGTGTAATTTGCAGAAACAACATTTTCTTGAAGTGATTAATAATAATTTACCCAACTGACCAATAACTCAGAATTCTGTTCCCTGTAATCTGAATCGCGATCTTTTGTGTGCCTGTAAAGTGACTGGCATGATACTTAATTGCTTGAAAGGCTGGGTAGAATTACCTTAAATTATTTTAAAGTATTTTGAGATCTTTTGATAGGAATGACAAGTTGTAGCACTTGGTTGGTTATGAGCACAAACATGACTAAGGCAGGAAATTCTCCACCTTTGATATAATACTCTAAGAAGGTAACATAACAGAAGAACCATACCACTGAAATGTAGACACCCTCCCATCTGCATCTGGATCCAGCAAAGCTTTGCAAGTGGAAGCAGACTTCTCTACATGTGTCAGGAGCTGTAAACATGCCCACTTGAATGTGGAAGTCGTTTTTCCATACTGTATTATTTTCACTGGGATATGCATCCTGAAACATGCATGAAGGACTCTCTGTGTATCTTTGGATTGTATTAATTTACAATCCAATCACCATATTACAAGTATGCTTACTAGTTGTAAGATCTTTCCACAAGTAAGGGACACTGTTAGTCATTCCAGAAGAGAAGTGTGTGCTTTGATGTCTTATGTACAAAAAGCAAATGGGATACCTGCCACATACACAGCTTGCTGGTTCTAAAGTATACTGACTTGTTGACGTGGCACTCCAGCAGACTGGTTAAAGGAGAGGTTCCTATTAATAAAGCGCCCATCTTTGTTTTCTTTACATCCTTTTCAGTCTCCTCACTGATTATATGACTGAATTTTGGTCTTTTTCTTATGAATTTTAATGACATTTAAATTTAGCTAGACTAGTCTGTAAAGTACTTTCTATGCTAAAATTGTTCTTTCTGGCCACTATTGGCCAGCTGTTTGGAGAACTGCCATGCTATTTCTTAAGGACAGTATAATATGTATAGAGGGTTGAGAGTTTAAAAAAAAACCTTAAGTGTTTAAAAATGCATTTAAAATTCCCAAGACACCTGTCCCTTTCGTACTGTGCATCAGATCAGTTATTCTGTATTAGGCTAATGCCCGGACCGTAGAGCTAACCTTACCATGTAGACATCCTTGGAATGTATTGCTTCTGACTTCAGGTGGGGAGGGGGTTATATACCCGTGCTGAGAATGTCAACAGTCTATTTCTAGTGATGCTATTAACTGGCGCGTGGAATCTTTGAACGGGATTGGCAGTATCTAGTGAACTGCTCCCACCTTGGACATGCGTGAACACAAAAGATGGTGGCAGAGTGGAATTCGAAGAAAACTTCAAAAAAACCGCACTGTGCACTGCCAGATGAATGGCAGACCCCAATCTCTGCTGGGCATTGTGATGTGTAACATATGTATTTCTGGAAAATGCAGGTACTTTTTGGCAGGGCTCTTCTTGCTTTAGCATCTGGAGGCATGCTATTTAAGATGCGCCTGCAAGCAGTCCCGCTGTTGTTTCCGCCAGCTGTGGGGATGGCTATGAAAGATCAACATGGGCAGACTACCACCACACATATGGACTAATACAGCCTTGTACTGGGATGGAGTTAGGGAGGAAACCTACTTATCATCCCATATATGGCAACATTGCATGTTGGCTGGCTGTACAATTCACAAAGTGAATTATTCTTTATTCATGCCTAACCAGTTTCATCCTATTCATTCAGATTATGATACTCTCAGCCAGCCTGGCCAATGGTCAGGAATATTGAGGGCTGTAGTCCCAGATCACCAGACTGGGGAAAGCTAGGTTACAGTAAAGCAGGTGTGTGTGTGTGTGTATGTGTGTATTTATTTTTTATATATATATATATATATATATATATATATATATATATATATATATATATAAAACTATTTGACACACAGCCATTATGCAAAGGATGAATAAACTACTTCAAATCCCCAAGCATAATTCAAAATCACTTTGGTGTAAGGGTTGACCCTGGATTATTTTCAGAATCTTAAATTGCTTGTATGCTCACAGCCTTCAGAGGAAGGGGATGGGAAATTAAATACAACTGAAATAATATGTTGTAAAAGGAAATTCTCTGCAGCTTCGTGATTAAGGTGACCAATTAGGTGTTCAGTCATACGGCATTATTGCATATGTTCAGCTATTCATTACTTGGTTATGATGCTCATTAGATATGCTTGGTTAAGTTGTTTATCATTGTGCCAAATGTGTATTATAGGTGGGGGGTTTGTAGGCTGCTCTGAGTTCTTCGGAGAAAAAGCAGGATACTACTGTAAGACATTTTTTAATTAAAAAAAATCCTACTAACCTTGTCTCACCATGTTTTTTTAACAGTGACTTTGCTTCATGGAATACACTCATAACAAGAGATTAATTAGGTAACAATGCCTTACAGCAGTCAGGAAGAAATTGTGTCAGAGTAGCAGAGCCGGGATAAAATAGTAAACACCCTCTAGTGTGACCAACCACCCTACAACCCTGAGACGTGTGTCATAACTGCTGGCTACTTAAAAGCAGTCAGAAAAGAGGAAACAGGAAGAGAAAACTTGCGTCAGATTTTTCCTGCTTTGCGTTTTTAGCCTATAACCTTTGATTTAATCAGTGATCAATTAAAAATTAATCTTTAAAATTTCCTTCGCAGTGAATCAAGTTGGGATTGGGCTTGAAAAGCACAGGGAAACATTTAAGGGTATTAATGTAATGGCTCCCCATTGCTCCCCAGTAACTGGTGGACAGTGATATTTTGCCCAAGCCTTTTCTTCCAATATAGTCAGTATAGTTAATAGTCACAGATTGACCTATCCTCCTTTTTCATCTCCTTTTCAGGCCAGTGACCATGACCACAACTTCTGACATCAAATTTATTTATTTATTTTATTTATTTAGAAGGCTTCTATGCCGCCCCATTCGCCGAAGCCTCGGGGTGGCTCACAATAATAAATATTGTGGAAATAAATTCCACAGTTTTGTAAAGTACTTTGGCCTGTCCTGAATTGACATCTAATCAGTTTCATGAGTAGCTTTCTGGTTTAATATGAGGCAGAAAGATTTCACTCCTACCTAGTAAAGTCTAATTAAGCAATAGGTTTCACATTAAAGGAACAGAGTCTTGCTTACTGAAATTTTATGCTACCAGGATACAGAAGGATCCAAGCAAAGTCCTTCACCCTCCAAATTCTCCATAAATGACACAATTCAGCAGAAGCAGGAAGCTGAGATGTAGCATCGCATTTATTGCCCCATCCTTTGCGGAGTTAGGTATTCCTTAATCGGGTGCTAGGCAATACAGTGGTACCTTGGCTCATGAACTTATCCGTTCCACGACTCTGGTTGTGACCCAAGTCAAATTTCCCCATAAGATTCAATGTAAATAAGGTTAATCTGTTCTGGCCCCTCGGAATGTGGTTGTGAGCCAGTTTTTGGTCGCGAGCCAAGTCAAACTTCCCCATAAGGTTCAATGTAAATAAGGTTAATCCATTCTGTAACTATTTTTTTTTTAATCAGAAAAATTTGAAACAAAGTGACAAAGAACAACAAAGTAACCAAGTACAGTACAGTACAGTGCAGAACACTAACCTGGGTGGGGGGGGGAGGTTATTGTTTTGAGGGAGAGTCCCGCTCCATAAGGACACTGGGGAGATGTCTTTCAGGGGTTTCCTCTCTTCTTTGTCTCTTAGCTGCAAGGTCAATTTCGGTGAAAAATCTGTCTATAGTCACTTGTTTTTTGTACAGTCACTCGGGGGGTGGGGAGATGGCTGTAATCATGCTGGTGGGGGGGGGGATGGCCAAGATTGCGCCCGTCTTTCCTGCAGGAGTGCGCCCGTGATCACGCATGTCTTCCCTGCACGAACGCAACTGCAATTATGGGCATCTCCCCACTCGGGGGCAGGGAGATGGCCGCAGTCTTGGTTGCCAACCAATGCAGAGTTCGCGACCCAAGTCAAAATTTTTATGAAATTTTTGTTCGTGACTCGAATTGGTATGAACCAAGGTGTTTGTGAGCTGACGCACCACTGTATATGGTGCTCTGGAAGGTTTGGCTCAGTTCCCATACACCTTCACGTCTGGCTAGGGTTGAAGAGCACTACAGAACATCTGGAAGGCCAGAGCTGCCCCAACCTGTCCTAAATCTACTAACATCTGTATAAGATTGGGCCACATAATGCAGGCTTCCCCTTAAAGAAGGCTTCCTCTCAAGCTGCAAACAAGGCCTCAGAGAATGGAGAGGCGAAGTAAGTATTCATCGGGAGGGTGGTATCTCCCTTTCCTGCTTGAGCACTCCTGTTTCTTGTCTCTTTCCCTTCCTGACTTCCCAGAAGGAGGGAACAACACCACATCCCCCCACCACATTTTATTTATTTATTTATTTAGAGAACTTATATGCCGCCCCATTCGCCAAAGCCTCGGGGTGGCTCACAATCATAAATGAACAAACACAATATAAAACAGTAAGTTGCCCTGGCCAAAGAATAAAATAAATAAATAGTATTAACAATTAAAATAACGTTTGAATAAAAAAGGTTTTCGCCTGGCGCCGAAAAACAAGTAATGACAGCACCAGGCGGACCTCTCTGGGGAGCGCATTCCATAAATTCACATCCACATTAGGATAAAGCCATGATTAGAGCTGTTACAAAATAATGATGGAACTTTCAAAATCTTGTCCATTGTTCTGGAGGTCTTTAGCTTTTCATTACCTGAAACAGCTTGGGAAGCCTGATAAGGGCATGTATAAAGGAATCGCTTCTCCTGTTTGGATACTCAACATCCTACTCCCCGGCCAAGAGAGGTGGAAACAAGTAATGGAGAAGCTGTTCCACCTGGCTGGACTTGCTAGCAAATGGTAGCATTAGACTATCACTGCTAATGCTAAAAGCAAAACAAATCAGGTACTAAGCATCTAAGGTCAATAACTGGACTCTCATATATCAGCCCAGCACAAAGTATATGCATTATTGAATGATCTTCAAATAAGAAACATCACTTCCTACAAAGGGCATGTCTCCTTCCCTTACGTAGGCAAAGCTACAACTCGCACTTGCTGCCCGGAGTGTGAAATTTCTCTTGTTCAGCAGATCTCTTCCTGATTGAAACAAGTCTGCCTGGGAAATTCCACAACTCCAGGGAAACCCAAATGCTAACCAATGGCAAGGGAAAAGAAGGTTGGCCTTTTACCCCTCAAAGTAGCTACTCTCTGTAGGGAATTATCCTCTTCTCGTTGTGGTCAGGATCTCAGCTCATGAACTTCAGAGCACCAAAGCAAAATCACATAGGCTTTCCCTGGAGTCTAGGTGGGTGGGGATATTTCATTTCTCTTCACAATGACCATGTGCTAGTTGGCATGTATATAGATAGCCCAAAGGACACCGTTGGAGTTTCATGGCTGATAGGAAGTCGGGTCACTTCCATCCAAGTTGCAATACATTAGGCACTACAGAAACTATCTGGTATTAAAGTCCCGATTTCTGCCATACTATGGTGTGCGCGCGTGAGATGTAACTCATGAAAACCCCAAAGTCTCCGTTTGGGTCTCAACGTGCTTCCTACAGGATGTGGAGCCTCATCCTCTCAAACGGAAGCAACAGCCAGGAAGAGAGACGTGTGAAGGCGTTACTCTGCGAATCGCTGGCCCACACGGGTAGCCGTCTCTCCCTGCCCGAAGAAAAATGCTGGCCCTACAGGGCTGGTTTGCTGCAGGCAGAGAACACACGGGGTGGGGCAAGGCGGAAGACGCCCCGGTCTCCCCTCGCCTCCCGAACTACCCCATAACAGAGGGGCGCGTAACTATCCAGGTCCTACCATAGGGCTAGGCTTTTACCCGCCTCATTAAAAAAGGATCCGGGCGGCCGCGCCAGACGGGCGACCCCGTACGAATCTCTTCGTCCCCTCCCTAGGACCGCTCGCCCCGACCGGCCCCCTGGGCTCCTCCCGCCTCCCGACCCCAGGAGCGGCGCGGCGCGGCGCGGAGCGGCGGGCCCGCTCGCCGGCACCGACCCCGTCCGCGCCCACGTTGCGCGCGGGGCTCTGCAGGGCCGCGGCGTGAGCATCCCGCGGCCGCCCGGCGCGGGGTCCGCGGGGCCGCCCT